AAAACTCTCGACGGTGCATAACACACGTCGAAGTCGAACGCCACGACCCAACATTGAGCAACTACGGGACACCGGAGTTGCCCAGGACTACGCGCAGCAGCTGGAAGTTGCACTACCCACGGAAGAGCAGCTTGGCGCAGCTTCTCTTGAAGATGGCTGGAGGGACATCCGTTCAGCCATAGGTAGTACTGCTGTAGCGGCACTAGGTACTGCAATCCCGGACCGAAGAAATGACTGGTTTGACGGCGAATGCAAACTGTTAGTAGAGGAGAAGAATGCAGCACGGGCGAGAATGCTGCAACACCGCACGAGATTGAATGTGGAGCGATACAGACAAGCGCGGAACAGACAAAACTCGGTTTTCCGAAGGAAGAAGCGTCAGCAGGAAGATCGAGATCGCGAGGCGATGGAAAATCTGTACCGCGTAAACGACACACGGAAGTTCTACGAGAAGCTAAATAGTTCACGCAAAGGCTACGTGCCGCAAGCCGATATGTGCAAGGACTTGGACGGTAACCTTCTCACGAACGAGTGTGAGGTGATTGAGAGGTGGAAGCAGTACTATGACGAGCACCTCAACGGTGAAGCAGCAGAAAACGAAGGTGGCACGGCAACAGACCTTGGAGCACGCGCAGAAGACGACAGGCTACCGGCCCCTGATCTTCAAGAAGTTGAGGAGGAGATCGGTCGGCTGAAGAACAAAGCAACTGGTGTAGATCAACTACCAAGTGAGCTATTGAAATACGGTGGTGAAGCACTGGCTAGAGCGCTGCACTGGGTAATTGCCAAGATTTGGGAGGAGGAGATATTACCGGAGGAGTGGATGGAAGGTGTCGTATGCCCAATCTACAAAAAGGGCGACAAGTTGGATTGCTGCAACTACCGCGCGATCACACTGCTGAGCGCCGCCTACAAGGTACTCTCCCAAATTCTATGCCGCCGTCTGTCACCATATGCAAGAGAGTTCGTGGGGCAATACCAGGCGGGATTCATGGGTGCCCGCGCTACCACGGACCAAATTTTCGCGATTCGGCAGGTTCTGCAGAAATGCCGCGAATACAACGTGCCCACACATCATTTGTTCATCGATTTCAAATCCGCATACGACACAATCGATCGAGATCAGCTATGGCAGATTATGCACGAGTACGGATTTCCGGATAAACTGACGCGATTGGTCAAGGCGACGATGGATCGAGTGACGTGCGTTGTTCGAGTATCGGGGACACTCTCGAGTCCCTTTCAATCTCGAAGGGGGTTACGGCAGGGTGATGGACTTTCGTGTCTGCTGTTCAACATCGCGTTAGAAGGTGTGATCAGAAGAGCTGGGATAGACACGAGTGGCACGATATTCAGGAAGTCCATCCAGCTCCTTGGTTTCGCCGATGACATTGACATTATGGCACGGAACTTTGAGATGATGGCGGAAACGTACATCAGACTGAAGGCTGAAGCTAGACGGATTGGACTTGCCATCAACGCATCAAAGACAAAATATATGAAAGCAAGAGGTTCTAGGGAAGACAATGTTAGCCTCCCACCCCGAGTTCAGATTGACGGTGACGAAAGAAGTCGTAAGAATGCCGCACGACGACCCAGTGAAAATGGTTCTAGAAAGCGACCCAACAGGAACAAGAAGAAGAGGCGCGCAGCGGGCAAGGTGGATCGACCAAGTAGAAGGTGACCTGCGGACCCTTCGCAGACTACGAGGCTGGCGAACTGTGGCCATGGATCGAGTAGAGTGGAGACGACTTCTTCGGACAGCAGAGGACAACAAGGCCTTAGCCTGATTGGTAAGGTAAGTAAGGTGTTCTGCCGTTGCTCAGCTGCCTTAGCAGCCATATTTAATGCATCCTTTGAGCAAGGAAAATTCCCAACATTTTGGAAGCAGTCATAAATATTTCCTTTTTTCAAAGCTGGCAATAAACGGGATATTAAGAACTATCGAGGTATGACCAGTCTTTCAACAGGGTCCAAACTGTTTGAGATCATCTTGAGCGAATTTGATCTACATTTCAACTGACCAGCATGGATTTATTCCCGGTAGATCGGTAGATACTAACCTTTTGGATTTCACGAGTACATGCATGGAGGATAAGGCACAAGTCGACGTCATATATACTGATCTGAAAGCCGCATTCGACAAAATGGACCAGAAAGTTTTGTTACGCAAGCTTTCCCGACTAGGAGCGTCTGAGCAACTTAGGTCGTGGTTACATTCCTACTTGACTGGACGAACTCTTCGAGTACGACTAGGATCTTGTGTCTCTTCTACGTTTACCAGCACCTCTGAAGTACCTCAGGGTTCACTTTTGTTTACGTTTTTCTTCAACGATGTAGCAGCTTTGTTGGGAGTTAAATGCAAGCTCGTTTATGCAGATGATCTTAAGCTATACGTCATAGTTCACTCGATTGAGGATTGTCATCGTCTTCAAGCTCTGCTAGATTTGTTTGTGGATTGGTGCCGTAAGCTTCATCCTTTACGACTACTGCATTGACAATGTAACGCTTCGCAGAGTGGAACGTATGACTGATCTTGGTGTTCTTTTGGACCCAAAGTTGACCTTCAATCTTCACTATTTCTCGATCATCTCTAAGGCGAAACGACAACTGGGACTTATTTCGAAGATTGCACGAGATTTCAAAGACCCTCACTGCCTGAAGGCACTATATTGCTCTTTAGTTCGACCCATACTTGAGAATGCATCTGTGGCCTGGCCTCCATATGGGCTAGTGTGAATCTCCGAATAGAAAGTGTTCAGAAAAGATTTTCGAGGTTGGCGCGATCCAATGAATTTGCCACCTTATGCAGACCGACGCATGCTATTGGACCTGGACACATTGGAACACAGAAGAAAAATGCAACAAGCCTTATTGGTAGCGAAACGTTTAAATGGCGATGTGGACTGCCCTCAACTGCTTTCACAATTAAACTTCCGTGTTCCTCGAAGGATGTTGCGGCAATCATCCTTACTTCAACCAAGATTCCATCGGACTGCATATCGATACCATGAACCAATGTCTGCGATGATTCGGGCATTCTACGCTGTGTAAGAAGCATTTGAATTCGGCGAAACATCGAACCAATTTCGAAACCGATTGAGAAGATTGTGATTATTTTTGTAATCTGTTTATCTGTTGCTTTTTTGTGTATTATCTAAGTTTTATTCATTAAGACAACTACTGTCAGATGAATTACAATAAATAAATAAATAAACAATGACTTCTCTCGAAGATTTTTAGGAATTCAAGACACGCCCACGCAAACCAACAATACCGTCAGTTAGGGAAAGTATCACCCTACCTGTTAGTGATGTTGATTTGCGTGCGCGAGCCTTGACTTTCAAGACATCATCGAAAGAAAAACTGACTATGGGAACTGACATCCGATTGATGACCTTGACAAATGTCCAATAAAATACTCTTTTACAAATTTATGGTGGTCCTGACAAGGACCGTTTCGTCGTGATGGTTGAGTAATGCTGAGCTATTAGGGTTTTCAACACAGATGAGGCTGGTGAGCTGTATGTTGTTTGGAATGAGGGTGACATGCTTGGCATAGATGGCCCATAGCGACTCACGAAGAGCTATTGATTCCGATCAATAGCGGTGTGGCTTCTTCCTCCTTCTATGGATGCTCATGTGGGCCGCAGCTCACTGATTGCAGGAAGCGTTTCGTTGTGTACTGAAGAACAATGTTCAACGCCACGCGTCGAAAGCACTGCTGCTGCTGCAGCTGATGCCACGGACCGAATACACACGGTGATTGGAACTTAATCCGATCAGAAGTGGTTGCGGCCAGCCTTGGTAGCTAGTTTCTTGCGGGGAGCCTTTCGTTGTGTACTGGAGAAAACCACCACTCACCACGCGGTGATTGAATAAACACCGTTTGGTGAGACCGGATGGAATTCAACTTTGACATCTGTGTTAGGGAAATCGCTTTTCACAGGCAATCGGTGATAATTTTAATTATCAAAGCAACAGTTGCACATTCGTGCAATTTTCAATAGTGACATTTTGAAAAATGATAAAGTCTTAAACTTAACATAAGCGTAGAAATATAATTGATCGATTGGTGATAAAATTATTGAAATTGGTCCAAAGGTAGCTGAGTTATTAACGTTCAAAATCTTTCATAATTTTGTTACATGTTCCACTTTCGTTTTTCACAAAGTGTACCCCCACATAAAAATCACAGACGTAGTCCTACGTCAAAATTAAAGGTCGGAGACAAATTTATAAACAAATAAATTCTACTGCAAAAAAAAACATCCATGGACGCACCGCCAATCGCAAGCAAACAGATACCCAACATCGACGACGACGGTTTCCCGCGGCGACACCGAGCGGCACAAGTGAGCCTCCAATTATTAATTAGTAATCACCGAGCTGTTAAACGGTGAACGTTGTGTCTTGTGTGATTTATGGAATCGTTTTCGTAGTGTGCAGCAGCAACAACAACAACAAACGGTCGGTCGCGGTCCGGGTGTTGGTGGTGGTAGTTCGAAGCGCCTAAACTAAAACGATTCACCCAACCCATCGCTGTGCCTTGGGCAAATGCATCGAACATGCGACCTCTCGCGAGCCACCAGACGAAGAGTGAATAGAGCGCACAATTTAATACACTAACAAGCGGTAGCTAATTTCCCTACCCCAGCCAGCCAAGTGTGGCATCATAGGTCTATATGACTAGCCGAGCCTAGGCGAAGCCAAAGAGGACGTTCAATCAAGCGAAGAGTGATTTTTTGACGGTTTTCTAATTTCGTCTACGCCTCCCCTAATATTGCAGAAGGCCTGCACGAAAATCGGGAAGAAGGTCGGGTTATGAACACTAATTGAAGTGCTGAATTGAATATATTTTCGATCATACACGGGAGAGAGAGAGAGAGAAAAACGTGTTGATCTGTTGGATGAAGGACGGTAAAAATAAATCGGAAAGAAGAACGATGATAATTAGCTGGTCCGGTGTGTTTCTTTTTTTCTAACGGACTTGCCTAATTATAAATCGATTTTAAGGAAGATTCCCGGATGGTCCCTGGTCTGCTGATGGGATTTAGCAGCGTTTGGTGTGATACATCAAAAAGTTTCAAGGTTGGTTTGAAAAAGTGCTTATCGATGCGATTTTGTCATCATTCATATGTTCCGAGAATTCTATTTCGAACTGATGTCACGACAACAGTCACACTGTAACAGTTTCGTGAAATGTTTACACTCAAAATGCAGGAGATAGCGATGGGTACCGAAAAGATAAGGTCGTTATCTTGGTTCAGGTTATCAAATTCTTAGTCAGTAGATATGCCGACCGATAAAACCTGCCATTTAATTAAGCGTAAAGCGACGGAGATTAGTGCTGCATATAGGGTATGTGCTACTGTAGATTAGGAGGAATGTTTACTGTCACGGAGGCTTAATACAAGGCGGTGGCTCAATTTCAGTATATAAAATATAACTTTAAATTGAACTTCCCTATTACTTATGCTTGCATAAACACCGACCTATATAATAAGGTGTGAAAACAATATTATCATCCGTAGCCCAGTTATTTTCAAACCCTTCCTTTCCCTCATCACCACCCTCATATCACCTTTCAAACCACGAATCCCATTGACATTCGTGTCGACCTACACGTAGCCCCGCATCCCGTGTAAGTTACCCAACTCAACAGATGCCCATCACAACATTTCTGAAACCCATCATCCCGTACCTAAGCCGACAGATAGATCCATTCGATGTTTTCGGAAAATTGAAAAGTTTCAACCGCAACCATAGGTACACTCTACTCAGAAAACTGCCGCATTATTCACTTTACACCCATCTGAAATGTTCGTAAAAAGTTGCACAAATCAATTCACTCGCTCCTGGACGCTTTGTTCATTTACAGTTCCCAGCTACCTTCTCCCACTCCAATTTGCTATTATTTCTACAGTGGAAGAGAGAGAGAAAGAGAGGGGATGCAACTTATCAACAAACCACACTCACTCATGTATAAACAGTTACATGCCACACTGTTAGATACACTTGCTTCCCACACGCTCCACAAAGTTGTTCCCGTATGTATGTCAGTAAGGAGGAAAAGCTTAGACATTCGGCCTGCCACAAAGTGTTGATGACTCTGTGCTCTGCTCTACTCTTGCTATGTACCTGCATGCACAAACCGCCAGCAAGACGATGATAATGGCCGAGGAAATACCTACATACGTGCTAGCGTCGGGAAAAGTTGGTCCTATGCAAATCGACAGACAAAAAGACGGAAGAACGAAGGAAGGAAGGAAGGAGAATGGCAGTAGGTATCTGCCAAAAGTCACACCGGGCGTAAAGTGAACAGTGTGTCACTATTTTCCAATATCCAATAATAATATCATACATAATTTCACAAGGAAAACTGAAGCATGAAAGTTAAACGAAATCCAAGATCCTGAAAACAAATTATGTCAAGTCTGTTAAAGATCTGAAAATTTTGCCACGCTTGTGTGTTACAAATTCATTAAGTTGACACGACAAATTCACGAGTTTTAGAGTTTTTCCAATCAAGGGCTGAGATCTGTGCTCGTCGCTTCTGCGTCTGGTTGTCTAGGTGCGTTACTCTAATTAATTATTGCCTCTCACCCCAAAGGGCAAACAGATCCTGCAAAAAGGTCCTACCAGTCCCAAAGGGTCGAACACTCGGGAGGCATCTGATAGGACACAACGTTTCGTTATCTCCGTTGACTCATTCCACATCGGTGAACTGAATCGAAAGGAATCTGTGCTAGGTTATCAGGTTGAACCCAGAGTTTTCACAGACGAGCTCAAAGAATTCAATTCTAAAATCGAGCGTTCGTCCCTCAAGCCCTCCGGCACCTCTGACAGCAATTCATTGCTGTTAGAATTCCATTTCCGTAACGAAAGTCCAGCAGATTGCAGTAACTCTATCCTCTCCTTGATGAGCATCTTCCCTTCCTCAATGTCGTCTACGCCTAACAACATATCATCCAAGCGTTGCAGACATTTCGTAGCCAAGTTAAGGTGCTGACGCAGTGCCGTAACAAATGTCCGAATGGGTTCTATGACGCTATCTCTCCAGACGATTTTGTGCAGTAGACGATCCAGAAAACTCTGCAGCACTATTCAACACATTTTTACAACGTCTCCTACAATAGCGAATCGGTGTGGTGCGGAAACTGAGATTGATATCCACTATCGTGTCTTGAACTACGGGTCCCACCATCAGTCCATCGTTGAGCGAAATGCCACTGGACGGTTTGCAAGAAGCGTCGAATACTACTCGCAGCTTCGTCATCGTGCTTTCAGGCTTGAAAACAGCGTGATGAGGCAAGTAGTGTTACGGGCCACTTGTATCATGGGTAGATCCTTTTCGTGGCACGTTACGGGATGTAAAATCTACCACCGATTCCTAGTCCTGACTACTTCAAACTAGGGGAACAGGATTTTTCAGCAATCAAAGGAACACATCTTAGTCATTGTTACTTTGTATGCCTTGTTGATAGTGACAAGACTCGGCATTGTCCACCGAGGATGATATTGAAACAAAGAAAAAATAGTTAGTTAGACTTTAGCTATGTGATTCCTAATCTTCTATTCGTTGTTCCCTAGTTTGAAGTGGTTAAGACTAGGGTTATGATGCATGGTCATTGTCGGTGTCACTGCTTAATTTTATTGCTAAGGAATCCAATGTTGACTGACAAAGGGGCGCGCCTTTGGAGGGTGTTTCAACACTCCGAAGGGTATAAAGAGCGGGACCTTTTCAATTAGAGTCGGATATACTACAATAGATCAAATTACTGGTCGCAGTGGTGTTAGGTTCCGAACAGAGGAAAAAAGTGGCTAGATATTCGTGCATGCAGTGTTGGGAAAATATCCAAAAATCAAATCTCAGCAATACCCATGATCACACTTGATTTTCGTAGACAAAAATCAAAAAACAAACAACTGTGGTAGATTTTGCAAGCTGTGATAATGCAGCTCAGAATATCAAGCTATCAAAACTCACCAGCTGCAAATTTCACCAAACTGTGGTGAGATTGAGTTTCATGATTTTTGCTTTACACCCGAACGCAACCGAAACTTTCATAACGGTTGGCAGAAGTCACTTCGTGTCTGCCATCGGTGAAGACTAAAATGAGATAGCAAGCTATACTTTCTCTTTCTAAGAAAACGATGTGCAACGGAATCATTTTTGTGTAGAGTCAACTCTCAACTTCATTTTTGCACATTGTGAATAGTCTCGCAATATCAAAGAAACTTGTAAAATCAATATCAAGCAGGATGTTTTGTTCCAACATCACACGTGCTATTGAGAGCATATGAAAGCGGAAAAATATCAATTGATGATGATTTTGCCTACACTGCGTGCATGAAATCCGCGTACTACCTTTTCAGTTCCGGATTCATCGAAAAACGACGCTCCATTGCCATAAAACGCATGATTGCAGTCGATCTGGACTCACCGAGATGCTAGATTGTCGCCTCCTTCTTTGGTAACGTGACCACGTATCTTCCTTCTTCATTCCTGAACATTGTCCTATCGACAAATTCTTCGCATGCAGTTTCCTCGACCGATAACGTACAGGTGGACTGACGAGTCTCAACTTCCCAGAACTTCGAAAGCTGATCTAGAATCTATGCCGCTCAACAGACTAGAGATCACGATGCGCCTGCAGGATTTTCAGGAATACGACCGGAAACAATCCAACCGAATAGGGTGTTCTGAAGCATCGGGCCCCTTCTAGCTCCATAAAATATTCTGCTCCGATGATGATGTCGATGGGTCATGATTCGAAGAAATTAGGATCGTCTAGATACGCAGGATCAGGAAGACTTCACCTAGTGGTGCGGAACCGATACAGCCAACTTCGGCAAGACGTGGAACTGCATTTCTTCCTTAAATGGGAAAATATGCTGCGATCTGGGACCCACTACAGTCGAAACAGCTTGTGATTGTCCAATGCCTTACGGTGGTTCAGTAAATTCGACCCGTCCAAAAGAAACGTGTGTAGAATCGAAGCTGTAACCTGATTGTTGGCGGACGAAACATCATCCAGCTGCCTGTTAAATGCTCCCCGACACAATCAAGCCAGAATTGGAACGGGCGAAAGTTCAATCCCGCCCTAGAAACAACATCCTCGAACCAGTTCATCTGATCGACTCAGAAGATTGAACTCCAGATCAGTCACCCTTCGGAAACAGTTTGTGATCCAGAAAGCTTCGCATCTGCAGTTCTACTGCAGACAGGATCCTTTGGTTGCTCATATGCACGCCCATAGGCTCTTGTCGAATAGCAAGTCATGCGGGAACCTTTGGCCCCACCAAAACCCCTTCTACCACGAACCAAATTTTAGAGATTGAGCAAGGCCTTTCTGAACTTACAAGAATTGATCGGTAGGCCACCCATAACATGGGGGCCTCTTATGAAAAACTAGTTCAACAGAAGGATGATGAGAGGGATGCCTCTGCAAAATGGCCAATTCAAACCAATGGCTGGCAAGAATATCGGTGGAAAAACGCAGGGAATAAAAAGAAAATTTCCATCGCAGAAGACCCTTGACAAGACTGGAATTTGAACCTAAACGACATCACCCGCCCCTCAACCTCCTATGATGAGTTTTTTTTATTTATTTACTATTTATTCTACATTGAAAACTTGGAAAAACAATCCTCAGCCACCACAATTTTGTCGTCGTTCAGATGATTTTCGTCCATAAAGTTCACATTCCATACCGCACCGTCGTATTGGACGACCAACCAATTTCGGCCGTCTCTACTGCCATACCGACAAGAGCTTCTCTACCGACCATAATGTTGGCATGAGGTCCGAGTAAAAGCTGTTCTGGACGAAATCAGCTAGGAGTTTCGCTACGAATCGGATGAGATTTGTTGTTTTTGAGAAGCTTCATGGTGCATAAAATACTAAAGTAGTCAACCTTAGCAACGATTGGCAAAACGTCAGCACTCGACAGTGATCCCGTTATATATTATAATGTTTGTGTCTTACTTGTCAACGTGGGCCCTAGCGTGCCAAACAGTGTGCTACGCTGTGTTTCGGCACAGTGTGCAGATTTGATTACCCCTTGACTTTCTCCGATTTGCATAAA